AGGAAGGAAGGAAGGAAGGAAGGAAGGAAGGAAGGAAGGAAGGAAGGAAGGAAGGAAGGAAGGAAGGAAGGAAGGAAGGAAGGAAGGAAGGAAGGAAGGAAGCCGGGCGGTGGTGGCGCACGTCTTTAATCCCAGCACTCGGGGAGGCAGAGGCAGGTGGATCTCTGTGAGTTCGAGGCCAGCCTGGTCTACAAGAGCTAGTTCCAGGACAGGCTCCAAAAACTTCAGAGAAACCCTGTCTCGAAAATAAAAAAAAAAAGGAAGAAAGGAAGGAAGGAAGGAAGGAAGGAAGGAAGGAAGGAAGGAAGGAAGGAAGGAAGGGAAGAGCTAAGTGGCTAAAGAGATGGTTTAGTAATTAAGAGCACTTCCAGAGGACCTGGGTTCCATCCTCAGTGCCACCTGCTGGCTCCCCAGTCCCACTGTATCCAATACCTCTTCTGGCCTTTACAGTTACTGCACACACATAGAACACAGAAATTTATGGAGGAAAATAACCATACATATAAAATAAAAATTAACAATAGATAAATAAGATTTAAGGGTATTAAAAATATAATCCTGAAATTGGACCCAAGTTGTTAGTGTCCTCAGCAAGCCAATATTGGGACTCATGGAAATTAAATCTTCCTGGAAGGATAGAAAGATGAAAGTAGTCATGTAGCATGCTTCAGACCTGACTGTAGGCTGCTGTCTACGCCCTGTTACCTACATGTGCAGCTTTCTTTCAGAAGCTTACTGTCTGGATGGTAGAGATAGAACTACATCCCCGCCCCAGAGAGCATATTTGGGATAGAAGGTGTTTGTGTGTAGAAAGGTGTGTGTGTGTGTGTGTGTGTACACTTGTGTGTGCACTTGTGTGTGCACCAGAGAACAACCCTGGATATTATTCCGCAGTGTTGTTCACTCTTAATTTTTTAAAGACAAGATTTCTCTCTTCAGTGGCCTAGAACTCTCCCAATTAGGTTAGACTGAATATCAGTAAGCCCCAGGCATTCTTCTGTTTTTGTCTCTCCAGCACTGGGATTTCAGGTGCACACCACTACACCAGGCTCTTTCTATGTATGTTCTGGGGTTAGAACTTGGGTTCTCACACCTGTGAGAGAAGCAGAACTTTTTACAGTTCTTTCTTTTTTCTTTCTTTCTTTCTTTCTTTCTTTCTTTCTTTCTTTCTTTCTTTCTTTTTTTTTTTTTTTTTTTTTTTGGTTTTTCGAGACAGGGTTTCTCT